ATGAACGACAAAAAAAAAGGAGAAATAAAATTGAACAATGTTTGAAAAGGAAAAATTTGGACATTATCTGTCTTCAGGAGACGCATGTGGCCAGAAAGCATAGAAAGGTGTTGATTAATAAACGGCTAGGAAATGAGTTTGGAAACCCTGGATAGGGTAAAGAAAAGAGGTGTGGTACTGTATATTAGTAGTAAAAATAGAAGCTAAAACAATGTTTAAAGATGAGGAAGGGAGGATGATAGGGGTTAATATCAACTGGCAAGGAGAAAAGATGTTGGTAGTAGGGATCTATGCCCGAACGGTAGGAAAAATGAATTTTTTAAAGGATTAGAAGAAAAACTAATGGAGCATGTCGATCAAAAAATAATCTTAATGGGGGATATGAATGCAGTTGTCTCGCCTGATATGGATAGACTTAGAGACGGAACAAACAGAGAGGGGAAATTACCAAAATCTTTTTTCGCCTTAGCGGAAAACTGCAGTTTAGTGGACATCTGGCGCCTCAGACACCCACTTGAGAAACAATTCACTTTCTACTCAGAACCTAACCAATCACTCTCACGAATAGACCAGATTTGGATCTCAAAAGATCTATGTCCAAGAGTTAAACTTATAGAAATAAGACCGAAAGTAATATCAGACCACAATCCATTAGAGATAAAACTAGAAAGCTTAGAGAAGAGACCCTTTAGATGGAGATTAAAGGATTATTTGTTAGATGATCAGAAAGTGGTGGAAACGGCAAAGGAAAAACTGACAGAGTACTTTAAGGATAACTGTGATAAAGGAACAAAAGAGAGCGTAATTTGGGATGCAAGTAAGGCAGTAATAAGAGGGTACTTTATACAACAGAATGCAATTAAAAATAGAAATAGAGAGAAAAATAAAGAAGAGATCCTCAGACAGATAATGGCAAATGAACAAAAATTAGTCCAGAAGCCTAACTGCCCAAAGACAAAAGAAAAAATAAAAATACTGCAAACCCAGTTTGCTACAATATTAAACAGAGAGGTAGAGTGGAACATTAAAAGATTTAGACAAAGAAACTTTGAATTTGCGAACAAACCAGGGAAATGGCTTGCCTGGCAAATTAAAAAAAGGAAAGAGCAAGGGACAATCAATAAAATAATAACAGACGGGGAAGAAAGAACTGATCCCAGAGGAATAAGGAATGAGTTTCTCAATTATTATAGAAATTTGTATAAAGATCAAGAGAGAGTTGCCCCAAGGAAGATAGAAAGATTCTTAAAGGAAAAAGGGGGACAAAAAATTCCAGTAGAAGGGAAACAAAGACTGAATACCCCAATTGAAAATGAGGAAATAGAGGAGGTAATTAGAGACTTAAAGAGGGGCAAAGCACCAGGCCCTGATGGATTTACTGCAGGATATTACAAAGAAATGAAATCTATTTTGGTGGGACCTTTGAAAAAGACTATGAACATCATCTTAAAGGAAGGAGAAATACCAGAGACCTGGAAGGAAGCATACATCACGTTCCTCCCCAAACAAGACGCGGATTTAACCCAGGTTAAAAACTATAGACCAATCTCACTGCTGAACACGGATTATAAGATATTCGCAGGAATCCTGGCAAAAAGGTTAAAAAATGTGTTAGTAGATATTATTCATACGGACCAGGCAGGATTCCTGCCAGGTCGGCAGATGAGGGATAATACAAGACATATTATTGATATGTTAGAATTTTTGTCTGTTAGGATTGATAAGCAAGTCACAATGATGTTTATTGACGCCGAAAAGGCGTTTGATAATGTGATATGGAACTTTATGTTGAGAAATCTAGAATATATGGATGTAGGTAACGATTTCTTCAACGGGGTAAGGGCAATATATACTGAGCAAAAGGCCAAACTGATCGTAAATGGTACGGTTACGGAAGAGATAAAAATAAGGAAGGGCACAAGACAGGGCTGTCCGCTCTCCCCGTTACTATTTATAACAGTGTTAGAAGTACTTTTAAATTCGATAAGACAAAATGGAAATATAAAAGGAGTAACATTAGGAAAGAATGTGTATAAAACTAAGGCCTTTGCCGATGATTTGGTAGTGATGACAGAAGACCCTATAACCTCAGTAGAAGAAATCCTGAAGGAAATTGAATCATTCGGAGAAGTGGCTGGGTTTAAACTAAATAAGAAAAAAACAAAAATGATATATAAAAACGTAGATTCAAGGACAATAGAGGCAATCCAACAACAATCACAGATAGAGACAGTCAAAAAGGTCAAGTACCTCGGCATCTGGCTAACACCTAAAAATATAGACCTATATAAAAATAACTACGAGCCGATGTGGAGGGAAATAAAGAGAGACTTAGAAAAATGGGGACGGTTAAAATTGTCAATGTGGGGAAGGATGAATATGATTAAGATGAATGTTTTATCAAGACTAATGTTCCTATTCCAGTCTATCCCTATAATAAAAGGGTGCAGGATTTTCAAAGAATGGCAAAGGACAATTTCGAGGTTTATATGGCAGGGCAAAAAACCCAGGATTCAATTTAAATTACTAACAGAGGTAAAGGAAAGGGGGGGCTTTGCCCTGCCAGACCTGAAATTATACTATGAGGCATCTTGCCTAAGTTGGTTGAAGGATTGGGTTAAATTGGAAAATACGGAGCTCCTCGATTTGGAGGGCTTCGATAATTACTTTGGATGGCATGCCTATTTATGGAAGAACAAAATGAAAGCACATAAGGGGTTTGGTAATCATATATTTAGAGGACCGCTAATCGAAGTGTGGGAAAGATATAAAAATGTGTTAGAACCGAAAACACCACACTGGTTATCACCCCTGGAAATAACAAGTATAAAAACGATTAATATGAGAAGCAACTGGGCAACATATAACCAGTTAGTTATTAAAGTGGATGGGAAATGGAGAACAAAACCTTATGAACAGATAAAAGAGTATGTTTACGATTGGCTTCATCACCAACAGATTAACCAGATGCTTAGCAGAGACATCAAGGAAAGAGGCTATGCGGACAATGACTCGAAATTTCAGACGGAAATAATAAATAATAAAGTGAAAAACATATCTAAGTTGTATAGGATGCTGCTGGACTGGAATTTAGCCGACGAGGAAGTTAAATCAGTGATGATCCGCTGGGCAAAAGATATAGGGCATAGTATACAGTTCGAGGACTGGGAAAGATTATGGAGAGATGGGTTGAATTTTACGGCGTGTACTGTGATAAAGGAAAATGTCATGAAGATGGTTTACAGGTGGCACCTGACACCCATGAAACTTTCAAAGATGTATAAGGTGGATAATAAGTGCTGGAGGTGTAAAGATGCAGTGGGCTCCTTCTACCACATGTGGTGGGAGTGTGGAAAGGTAAAGCTGTTTTGGGAGAAGGTTTATACCGAATTAAAAAAGATACTAAAGTACACGTTTGTAAAGAAACCAGAAACTTTCCTATTAGGGATGCTAAGACAAGAAATAAAAAAGGAGGATCGCAGATTGGTATACTATGCGGTAACAGCAGCAAGGGTTTTAATAGCTCAGAGGTGGAAACAGCAGGAAATCCCAACAACGGAGGAGTGGAGATCTAAACTATCGGAGTATGCAGAACTCGATAAATTAACGGGGAAAATTAGATATATAAAAGACCAAGTGTTCATTAAGGATTGGGGAAAGTACGCAGATTATCTGGAAGGTATTAGTGATGGACAAATAACGCTAAAGGGATTTAAAGATGCACTGTGATAGACTTTGGGTTATTGGGTAAGGAAAAGAGAGAACAAAATTGGAGACAATGACAATAACAATATAGAAGATGAAACGTGTAACTTTATTTATTGCTTCAAATGACTTGCGGCTAAGCTGAAGGAAGTCCTGAAAGAAACAGCTATGTTATGGGAGATTGTAAAAACAATAATTATGTGTACCTTTTACCTGCTTCTTTTGTTTTTTCTGTATGTTCTTTCTTTTTTGTGTTGATGTCTTTGTTATATGTGTGTTATCTTTGTTTTTCCTTTTGTGGAATAATCAATAAAAAAAAAATAAAAAAAATAAAAAAAAAGAAGAAGACTCTGCTTTTGAAATGTAAATTCCTGGAATCTAGCCTCCCTTGGCTGCAGGCCTGTGGCCAAAGAGATCTTATGGATTTGCCAAAGACACAGCACTGACTTTCAATATTCGATGACAAATCCTTCCCACTCTGTGTTAGAACACCTTTCGACATTCCATGACATCACAGCAGCCAAACCAGTAGCTAAGGGAGCTTGCCGAGAGCTGACAAGTTTTAGCTTGTTATATAGGGAGAACTGGCCACTGGTCCCATCACCTCCTGGCAAATAGAAGGGGAAGAAATGGAGGCAGTGAGGGATTTTACCTTCCTGGGCTCCATGATCACTGCAGATGGTGACAGCAGCCACAAAATTAAAAGACGCCTGCTTCTTGGGAGAAAAGCAATGACAAACCTAGACAGCATCTTAAAAAGCAGAGACATCACCTTGCCAACAAAGGTCCGTATAGTTAAAGCTATGGTTTTCCCAGTAGTGATGTATGGAAGTGAGAGCTGGACCATCAAGAAGGCTGATCGCCTAGGAATTGACGCTTTTGAATTATGGTGCTGGAGGAGACTCTTGAGAGTCCCATGGACTGCAAGAAGATCAAACCAATCCATTCTGAAGGAAATCAGCCCTGAGTGCTCCCTGGAAGGACAGATTGTGAAGCTGAGGCTCCAATACTTTGGCCACCTCATGAGAAGAGAAGACTCCCTGGAAAAGACCCTGATGCTGGGAAAGATGGAGGGCGCAAGGAGAAGGGGACGACAGAGGACGAGATGTTCTCGAAGCTGGACAGTGTTCTCGAAGCTACCAGCATGAGTTTGACCAAACTGCGGGAGGCAGTGGAAGACAGGAGTGCCTGGCGGGCTCTGGTCCAGGGGGTCACGAAGAGTCGGACACGACTAAACAACAACAAAATAGGGAGAAAGAAAAAGTCTAAATAATTTCAAGGCGCAGTCTGCCTACCAGCCATCCTCTGTCCCTAGCCACATGGAACTCTGATAGGCCTCTGGGTCAATGCTCAACAGGTCCTCCAGGCTGCCTCTGGTGAATGACCCTCGACTTGACCGCCTCAACGCCCGTCCGTCCGTGGGGCTGTCGCTGTTCTGGGCGAAAGTGGTGGCAATGGGAAGGAAGCCGGCAGGGTCTTGCTCCTCTTCCGAGCTGGTTGCCTCAGCTGTTGCATCTTTGGAGCTTGGGATCTCCTCATCTGGCAAACGAGAGGCAAACAGAACTAGCAAGGAACCTTCCAAACTCAAGGAAGGCCCCTGGCTTGGTCACTGAAAACGTAACATTTCATTTTCAGTTCTAAACTCAACTTATTTGTCAGATCGCTAACAAATGCACATCTAATCTAGACTGTTAGTACAGTGGTACCTCGGGTTACATACACTTCAGGTTACATATGCTTCAGGTTACATATGCTTCAGGTTACACACTCCGCTAACCCAGATAGGAGTGCTTCAGGTTAAGAACTTTGCTTCAGGATGAGAACAGAAATTGTGCTCCGGTGGCACTGCGGCAGCGGGAGGCCCCATTAGCTAAAGTGGTGCTTCAGGTTAAGAACAGTTTCAGGTTAAGAACGGACCTCCGGAACGAATTAAGTACTTAAGTACCACTGTATTTAGTTAAGCTGGAACTATGTCGGAGGAATTTCTCTCTTTCTTTACCAATTATTTTTTTAAATTGCTTTCCCGTAATTGTTAACAAATTGTGTTCCAAATTAATACAAATTTAAAAACTGACTTCCCAACCCCCAGGCGACTCCTCTATTTTCTTCCCTCCTTTGCCGCTCCCAGTACGACAACATTTCTAACTTGCATTTCAAAATCTCACTGCTTTTGGGGAAGCCTGAAATTCGGAGGAATTTCTACCTGTTGCTCCCCATTTTTGGTGCTAAATGTTTTCACCTTTCCTTAGAGTTGGAATTTTGATACTGTGTTTTAGGGGGACAACCCTAAAACCCTTCATCCACACTTCTGGAGGGGGTCGGAATTGGGTGAGGGTCTTCCTCCACTCAGCTCTGCTGCCATGGAAACCCTTCTGAGCCCACTGAAGGCGAGGGCTGTTTGGGGAGCCACCACCAACAGGTTCCTGTCAATAGAGGGCAGAACGAGGCTCTGGGAACAAGGCCTTTTAGAATGGGGTGACAAGCAAGGGTCCGGATCCGTGGAGCCCAGTCATGGAGCTGGCAAACAAACCTCCTGCTCTGACTGGCAGCAGCCAGCAAGGCTTCATAAGCTGGGGGAGGGCTGCTTTATTAAAGAGAGCTCGTACTGTCGTTGCTGCGCAGTGCCATTGTTTATTTTGCTGCAAGCTGCACCGAGGAGCCTATTGCACCGAATTGGTGGCATATTCCGAAAGAAGAAAAGGAAAATAATAATAACAGCAACTAACATTTAGTGGGAGGCTCTCATTTCGCTTGGAAGATGTCGTATTATTTTCCACGTAAAAGAAACACCGATTGCCATTCCTGAACTTGCGAGCTGAACAAGCAACAGCAGCTACCGTGTCAAACAATTGCAGGGACATTTACAGCCTTCTGAAAACGTCTGTTTCTCAGAAACGAAGACGCTGACAGCAATTTATTCACATGCTTAAACGTTTCTACTCTGCCAGATTGCACAAGGAAGTCGAAGAGACGTTCCTAAAAAGGAATTGTTTCTTAGGACGACACTCTGCATAGATGCAGAGTTGGGTTTGTAAAGGAGAGGTGCTGGGGTTCAAAAATATGCTCAGCAACAGAAGGGCACCTGGGGAAGGGGGCATGGCTGGCTTGGGGCAAGTTACTAGCCCTCAACGTTGCCGTGCGAATGGTCCGACTCACTTCCGAAGCTGGAAGATATTGTGGAGTGGCTGGCTTGGCTCTGGAGGGTGCCGGAAGGACTCGGCGAGGACTCATCATCCGTGTCGTCACTGTCGAAGGGGACCAGTTCTCGGGTGGTGCTGTCCACTGGGTCCGAGAGCTCCAGGGAAGACCCAGAAATGGAGATATGCAAGCACTGCTGGGGCCCAGACTCGTCCATCGACGTGTGAACCGGTTCTGAGGAAGGGCTGGCCAGAGATTCGGGGCGCTCCCTGGGTGCAGAGTAAGGTGGGAAGATAATAATAATAATAATAATAATATAATTTATTATTTATGCCCCGCCCATCTGGCTGGGTTTCCCCAGCCACTCTGGGCAGCTTCCAGCGAAGTATTAAAATACAGTGGTCTGAAAAAAATGTTGAAAAATACATTTATTAAGAAACCAGAGGCCTTTCTTCTTGGAATAACAGGTCTGGAATTGCCCAAGAAAGATGTTAGACTGTTTTTATGTGCCACAACTGCAGCTAGAATTTTGTTAGCTAAGAATTGGAAAACACAAGAAGTCCCAACAGTGGAGGAATGGCAGATGAAGATGATGGACTTTTCGGAGCTGGCCGACCTGACGGGAAGAATCCGCGACCAGAAGGAGGAGGAGTACCAGGAGGAATGGATGAAATTCAAAGACTATTTAGTTAAACATGCTAAGATAACTTAATTAGAAAAAACTTGCAAATACCAGATAGGCTTAGGATTTAAATATGTGATGTTAGAGAATAGTATGTTTAAAGTTAAAATGAAAAGAAAGAATGATGTTAAGTTAATTTTATGAGAACCTTCGTTTTGGAAAAACTCTTACAATGATATACACTGAAACTCAACCAGGGGGATTTGAGGAAGTCACCTAACAATGTTTTACTAAGATTGGATTAAGTACAGTTAAGATTTATGTTTGTTTGTTTGTTTAAAAATTCTGGAAAATCAATATTTTTTTTAAAAATAAAATAAAATACAGTGGTCTGTTAAACATTAAAAGCTTCCCTAAAGAGGGCTGCCTTCAGATGTCTTCTAAACGTCTGGTAGTTGTTGTTCTCTTTGACATCTGGTGGGAGGGCGTTCCAGAGGGAGGGCGCCACCACCGAGAAGGCCCTCTGCCTAGTTCCCTGTAACTTGGCTTCTTGCAGGGAGGGAACCGCCAGAAGGCCCTCGGAGCTGGACCTCAGTGTCCAGGCAGAACGATGGGGGTGGAGACGCGAAGAGAACAAAAAGGCATGGGGAAAAGATAAACGGAGAAGCTGCGTCTCTGCAATGAGCAGCAAAACATGAGCTGCCAGGGTGGAAGCCTAAGAGGGGACAGGAACTGCGGAAGTTGGGGATTCGCTGCCTTTAGGAACCAGGAAGCACAGAACTACCGTATTTTTTGCTCTATAAGACTCACTTTTTCCCCTCCTAAAAAGTAAGGGGAAATGTGTGTGCGTCTTATGGAGCGAATGCAGGCTGCGCAGCTATCCCAGAAGCCAGAACAGCAAGAGGGATTGCTGCTTTCACTGCGCAGAGATCCCTCTTGCTGTTCTGGCTTCTGAGATTCAGAATGGTTTTTTTCTTGTTTTCCTCCTCCAAAAACTAGGTGCGTCTTGTGGTCTGGTGCGTCTTCTAGAGCGAAAAATGCGGTAAATGCCCTTTAAGAGAATCATAGAATTGCAAAGTTGGAAGTGACCCTGAGGATCATCTAGTCCAACCCCCTACAATGCAGGGATTGTTTCCTGGGTCCAGGACATCTCTCCCCCCCCCAACACATTCCCAAAGGTGCCAGAACTACTAAAAGGGCCCCCTCTGCTTATTTTAACACCCAAGAGGGTCTTCTGTAGGGAAGGACATGGTCTTTCAGATAGTCAAACCACAGGTTCTGACCCCACTGTGTTGGACTAGGTCTTGGGAGAGCAGGGTTCGAATTCCTGCTTGGCTGTGCAGTTCACTGGGTGACCTTGGGCCAGTCACTGCTTCTCAACCTAATCTATCTGCTCCATAGGGTTGCTGTTATTGCTGTAAAGGTAAAACAGGGAGGAGATGTACGCCGGCTGCCTTGATCTCCTTTTGGGAAAGGCGGGATAGAAATGCAATAAACAGACAATAAATAAATTCTAATTCTGCCGTTTCCTGCAGGACACATCTCCCTGGCTTCCAGCCACGTTTTTATCTGACAGAAGCGGGTTCTGGGTCCCCCAAAAGCTTTCAAGCCAGCCCTTCTCAACCAGAAGTTCTTGGACTACACCTCCCACCATCCCTGACCACTGGTCCTGCTAGCTAGGGGTGATGGGAGTTGTAGTTCTAACAACACCTTTGGAACCAAGGTCGAGAAAGGCTGGCTTACGCCATGAACAAATGTGTTTGCTTTCCAGGGGCCACAAGATTCTTTGCTGCCACAGATGTTCTATATAATAATAATAATAATAATAATTTATTATTTGTACCCCGCCCATCTGGCTGGGTTTCCCCAGCCACTCTGGGCGGCTTCCATAGAAACCAAAAAACACTAAAATATCATACATTAAAAACTTCCCTGAACAGGGCTGCCTTAAGATGTCTTCTGAATGTCAGGTAGTTGTTTATCGTTTTGACATCTGCTGGAAGGGCGTTCCACAGGGCGGGTGCCACTACCGAGAAGGCCCTCTGCCTGGTTCCCTGTAGCTTTGCTTCTCGCAATGAGGGAACCGCCAGAAGGCCCTCGGTGCTGGACCTCAGCGTCCGGGCAGAACGATGGGGGTGGAGACGCTCCTTCAGGTATACTGGGCCGAGGCCGTTTAGGGCTTTAAAGGTCAACACCAGCACTTTGAATTGTGCTCGGAAACGTACTGGGAGCCATTGTAGGTCTTTCAAGACCGGTGTTATGTGGTCTTGGCGGCCGCCCCCAGTCACCAGTCTAGCTGCCGCATTCTGGATTAGCTGTAGTTTCCGAGTCACCTTCAAAGGTAGCCCCACGTAGAGCGCATGGCAGTAGTCCAAGCGGGAGATAACCAGAGCATGCACCACTCTGGCGAGACAGTCCGCGGGCAGGTAGGGTCTCAGCCTGCGTACCAGGTGGAGCTGGTAGACAGCTGCCCTGGATACAGAATTGACCTGCGCCTCCATGGACAGCTGTGAGTCCAAAATGACTCCCAGGCTACGCACCTGGTCCTTCAGGGGCACAGTTACCCTATTCAGGACCAGGGAGTCCTCCACACCAGCCCGCCCCGTCCCCCAAAAACAGTACTTCTGTCTTGTCAGGATTCAACTTCAGGATTCTAAAAGTGAAACTACCCACAAGAAAGTCCTTTTCTGGCGACTTCCTTACCGGAAGCTTCGCTTGAGGCCCGGCACAGAGGCGATGCAGAGGATCCTGGCAGAGCAGACGGCGATGCAGGCCTCGACGATAGGCTCCTTTTTGACGCTGAGGAGGCAGACCTGCCCGACGTAACCGTCGCTGTTGCACACCCAGACCTCGTAGGCGTTCTCCGGGTTGCTGTGGCTGGGTGAGGCGCAGGAGAACTGCCGGAGAAGGGACGAAAAACCCAGGTTGCTTTTGAAACAGGCCCTAAAAGCGCTCACCGGAATGGGCCCAACCGAAAATGCATTCTCCAGAACCAATAATTTATTGGTGACAAGAGTCTTTAATGGAGGTGCAGTAGAATTAAATGAACAGCACTGGGGTGCACTGTGGGTTTCTTTCCTTAGCAGTAAGCAGGTGGAACTATTTTATTTATTTATTTATTTTTTCAAGGGACCCTTTTGTTTTTAAGAGGGAATACTTGGTGGGTAATGACTCTTACCTTGGCTGGGACGAACGAAGCTCCACTTTCTGTGAAAATTTCTCCAAATAATATCCTCCAAACATACAGGTGCGAACAGAGCTTTTGCTTACAAAGAGGACCATTAATGCCTGAAAGTGAAGCGCTGCTCAGAGCTCAAGCCTTTAACAACCAGCTCTGACAAGCCAACTCTTAAGATTTTAGGTAGAGGCGCTTTTGACTCATCGGTGGCAAAGGTCTTCATTTAAAGTGCAGTATCAGCCTGGATAGCTCAGTTGGTTAGAGTGTGGTGCTGATAATACTAAGGTTGCAGGTTCGATCCCCGTATGGGGCAGCTGCATATTCCTGCCTTGCAGGGGGTTGGATTAAATGACCCTTAGGGTCCCTTCCAGCTCTAGGATTCTTTGATCTAAGTGTTAGTTTCTGTTTGGACGCGGGTGGCGCTGTGGGTAAAACCTCAGTGCCTAGGACTTGCCGATCGCATGGTCGGCGGTTCGAATCCCCGCAGCGGGGTGAGCTCCCATCGTCCTGGGTCCTGCCCACCTAGCACCTAGGTGGGTCCTGCCCACCTAGCAGTTCGAAAGCACTCTTAAGTGCAAGTAGATAAATAGGTACCGCTTTATAGCGGGAAGGTAAACGGCGTTTCCGTGTGCTGCGCTGGTGCTGGCTCGCCAGCTACAGCTTCGTCACGCTGGCCACGTGACCCGGAAGTGTCTCCGGACAGCGCTGGCCCCCGGCCTCTTAAGTGAGATGAGCGCACAACCCTAGAGTCAGTCATGACTGGCCTGTATGGGCAGGGGTACCTTTACCTTTACCTTAGAGTTAAATGAGCTGCACTAAGGTGCACTGGGATGCGAGTGGCGCTGTGGGTTAAACCACAGAGCCTAGGACTTGCCGATCAGAAGGTCGGCAGTTTGAATCCCCGCGACGGGGTGAGCTCCCATTGCTCCGTCCCTGCTCCTGCCAACCTAGCAGTTTGAAAGCACGTCAAAGTGCAAGTAGATCAATAGGTACCATTGTGGCGGGAAGGTAAATAGCATTTCTGTGCTCTGCTCTGGTTCGCCAGAAGCGGCTTAGTCATGCTGGCCACATGACCCGGACGCTGTACACCGGCTCCCTCAGCCAATAAAGCAAGATGACCGCTGCAACCCCAGAGTCGGTCACGACTGTACATAATGGTCAGGGGTCCCTTTACCCTTTACCTTTAAGGTACACTGAGGGTTTGTGTTTTCTAAACAATCAGCAAATTGAACTATAGTTTCAGACAGTTATAATATGGAAACGGTAGCAACAAACAACAGATGAACTGCGTGAATTCGGTTTGCAAAACTCGGACCTACCTGCATTCCACTCCTCGTTTTCATGATGGGAATCGCCTTCAGGAACTCAGGGTCCAGGCAGTTTTTGTAGGAAGCTGGTTACGAAAAGGAAAAGAAACAAACCTGTAGCGCGGTCCGATTTGCGGCGTAATCCGCCGCAGCTCTGTGGAGTCACGATAATGAACAGCCGTCTTGAATCTATCTACACATTCTATCTATCTATCTATCTATCTATCTATCTATCTATCTATCTATCTATCTAACCGTTCCCCAGTTCTCGCCCCTAAGACTCCACAGCCACTGGCTGAGCTGCTGTGATGTCACAGCATGTTTGAAAACATTTCAGCTGCCCACGCTATTTGTCAGCAGCAGTTTGCAAAGAGTGGTGTTCCCGCAGTGGAAGCAAGCGGTCAATTTGACTGGGGATAAAACCTTGCAGCTTGTTCATCAGTGCCGCAGGAGCACCTACAGAGAGGGGGAGTGTTAGGGGGGGAAAACCCCACATCTATTTATGCTCCAGATCAGCCCCTCCATATAAAGGAAGAGGCAAGACAGAGTACGTCTTGGATTGAACTCTAGGTTGAGGGAGGAGCATGAGAGCACATTTTTTGGCTAACCTCTCTCTTCAGAGCTACTTCTAAAGGACTAAAGAAGCAGATGAGGAAGATAACTTGTGCAGAGGCTCTATTAGTTCAGACTGAACTCAGGTTACCCAATGTCCCCCCCCCCAAAAAAAAATATTAAAGCTAGCATGTCAGGGAGACAGACTTCAGCTTCTATGTGCAGGGACGGACCATCGAGTACCGTATTTTTCGCTCCATAGGGCGCACCTAGTTTTTAGGGGGGGGGGGAATAAAGGCTCGCTGTCTTGGCTTCGTTTTTAGCTGCGAGGCTAGGGCGGGAGAAGCCCGAGTTTCCCCCAACCCCAGAACAGGTCCGGGAGCGGTGGCGAGGTTGTGAAGCCTTTTGTGCTGGTCCCGGGGGGAAGGTTACCGTTGACGTAGTCGAAGTCTGGTCCTGGGTCACTAGCCTGGAAACAGTTCGCAAGGAGTGGGGCGAGGTCCGAAGCAGGAAGCCGAGCGGGGACAGGAACACTGGAGAGTAGGGTCTGGGTCCGGACAGGAGCAGGTACTCAACGACGACGTTGCTCCCGCAACCTGGGACCGGGCTGACTGGCCTTTATCTTCTCTAAGGCCAGGGGCAGTCCCGGCCCCCAGGAGACCTCTCCCGCCTCTCCTGGCCTTAAGGCGAGCACTCCTCCTGGGAGAAACCAGTTCCCTTCGCCTCTCTGCCCTAAGCCTCTGCAGTTCAGGAGAGGCTGAAGGGTTACTGGGCCCAGGGGGAGACTCACCTGTAGGCACTGAGTCCTCAACCACCTCTGGGGCCAGAATGGATTCACCTGGTGCCTGCTCCTGAGGATCCGGCACAGGTGCAGGCGCCTCAGAATCAAGGCCTTGCCCCAGTTCAGCCGGCCCTGGAGGCGGGGACTCCTGTGCAGGCTGGGATTCCTCCGGTTCACCCTCTGAATTGGATTCCCAGGCCATCACACCTTTGAAGTGCAGCGTGAGTTCCCGCTGCGCTCCAAAGGCTTCAGGTTCCTTTCGCTGAAGCCAGGAGAGTCTTGCTCTCCCAGCTTTAGCAATAGGAACCCGAAGCCTTTGGAGTGCAGTGCGAGTTCCCGCTGCACTCCAAAGGCTTCAGGCGGCTATCCCTGAAGCCTGGAGAACGAGAGGGGTTGGTACTCACCGACCCCTCTCGCTCTCCATTCGCTCCCTAGGACGCACACACATTTCCCCTTCCTTTTTAGAGGGGAAAAAGTGCGTCCTATAGAGTGAAAAATACGGTAGGTCTGAGAAGTGCTCTTTGCGAACTGATGCCAAACATTATGAGTTTTATTAACTGCCTGATGCGTGCGGCTGCTCCGTAACAAGAGTTCCCTGGGCGCCTTACAAAGCGCTCCCTACCCCAAAACATTAAAACGGTGTAAAGCAGTAAAAAAACACCCTACAATATCAAAAAACAAAGCCCCAAAACACTCAAGACAAAGACCTAGTTTCTTCTTGGTGTCCTCGAAGGCTTGCTCAAAGCTATGGCGCGCGTCTGGGTTGGGGAACTCAAAGATGTAGGACTCCGTGCCGTCCGCCTTCGTTGCCGTGAGTTCCATTTTGTTGGGCGGGAAAGACTGGGTGAAGGAAAGGGACTGCTTCTCCGCCAATTCGCGGTGGATGGCGGCCATCAGGTCCTTGATAACGTCGTCCAGGCTCTGAGGGTGAGCGAACACAAATGTCGGCATTAGCTGGGAGAACACCATGGACTTTGTGGAATAAAACTCGGCAGCAGCAAGTTTCTAGTCCATCTTATGAAGTCGCAACAGCCCACAAGCCTGTAAGGGCAACCTTTAGCAGTTGGTCCCTTCCCTTTCCTGCCCCAACCTGGCCACAGTGATCCATGCGACGGTCACCTCCAGGCTTGACTACTGTAATTCGCTCTATGCAGGGCTGCCCTTGAAGCTGACCCAGAAACTCCAGTGGGTGCAGAATGCTGCAGCGATGCTCCTCACGGGGTCTCTGCCATGGGAGCATATTCACCCAGTGCTTTTCAAGCTGCACTGGCTCCCAGTGGAGTAGAGGGTCAGGTTCAAGGTGCTGCTTTTGACCTTTAAAGCCCTTCACGGCCTAGGACCCTTGTACCTACGGGACCACCTCACCTGGTATGCCCCACGGAGAGCCTCAAGGACCATAAATAGCAACACCCTAGTGGTCCCGGGCCCTAAAGAAGTTAGATTGGCTTCAACCAGGGCCTTTTCAACACTGGCCCCGGCCTGGTGGAACGCTCATTCTCACGAGACCAGGGCCCTGCGGGATTTGATTTCTTTCCACAGGGCCTGTAAGACAGAGTTGTTCCGCCTGGCCTTTGGCTTGGAGCCAATTTGATTCCCTCCCTCTCTTTTTTCTTTTCCTTTCTCCTCCTGCGATGAGGCTACATTTTAATATTTTAATGTTTCCTTATTTTAATGTTGTATTTTAATTTTGTTTTTAAGTTGTAATCATTCAACTTGTTTTTATTATTGCTTGTTAGCCGCTCTGAGCCCAGCCTTGGCTGGGGAGGGCGGGGTATAAATAAAAATTATTATTATTATTATTATTTGATTTCCAAGCTCCACATTTAGAGGTGACCCAACTGGAAGCCATCAAGGACAGGGCCTTTTCGGTGGAGGCACCACAGACGTGGAATTCTCTCCCCAGGGTGAGCTGACTAAAATCTTTCTGATTTTAGAAGGTTACTAATTTATTCTTTCTTTCTGGAACACATTTGTGGAGGTTTAAATGCTGATTCCTTTTTGGTTTGTGACTTTTAGAGTTGGTATATTTTAATCTTTAAATGGCACACATAAATAACCTTTATTTGTGTTTGCCGCTACTGCGGCCCGTGTTTCGTTAGCCCCAAAATGGAAAAGGAGCGAGGTCCCAACCAAAGAAGAATGGCCGCTTAAGTTGACAGAATGTGCGCAGCTTGCAGACTTAACATATTGAATAAGAGAAGAAGAACATACGTTTAGAGAGGATTGAAAAATGTTTATTGAATATATGGGGGGGGGGAATCATGTGAACCTGAAAACGTTGGCAGCATTAAGATAAATTCAACAGTGTAAATAAGTTTTGATGGATGTAATAATGGAATACTGGAAAACTGCGGGTGGCAGTGGAAGACAGGAGTGCCTGGCGTGCTCTGGTCCAGGGGTCACGAAGAGGCGGACACGACTAAACAACAACAACAACAGAATACTGAATGGTATAGTTTATGTAAAATAAGCAGGGATTTATGATATGAAAAAGGAACCATGGAAAGAGAGGAAGTCATTGATATTTTAAGGTTGTTTAAATGAATATTTTCAATTATGAAACAGAAAATTTAATAACACACACACACACACACAGTGTGTGTGTATATGTATATGTGTGTGTGTGTGTGTGTGTGTGTGTGTATATGTATGTGGTTGTTTAGTCGTGTCTGACTCTTTGTGACCCCATGGACCAGAGCACGCCAGGCACTCCTGTCTTCCACTGCCTCCCGCAGTTTGGTGTGTGTGTGTGTGATCCCAGGCCCCAGGGAGGTTTGGCTGGCCTCAACCAGAGCCAGGGCTTTTTCAGCTGTGGCCCCGATCTGGTGGGATGCTCTGTCACAAGAGACTAGGGCCCTGCGAGACTTGAAATCTTTCCGCAGGGCCTGCAAGACAGAGCTGTTCCACCAGGCCTTTGGCCAGGGCACAGCCTGACCCCCTCCTTCTGTAATCGTCACGGAACTCTATCTCAATGGTTGCCATTAATTTGATTCAGAATTGATTTAAAAATGTATTTTAATTAATTGACTGTGTGATTTTATGTACACTGTGCTTTTTTTACTTGTTGTTAGCTGGTCTGAGCCCAGCTTTGACGGGATACAAATAAAAAATTATTATTATTATTATTATTATTATTTATTTTACAAAACGCCTGTACTTGCCCCGACAACCTCGAAGGTTCTCACCTGATGGGGGAAGCTGAGGGTCTCTGAAAGCTTGCTAACTTGGCCAAGGGTGCTGAGGTCTTCATCCAGGCGGGAGATGGCTTTCTGGATGCTCTCGCGATTGGGCGATTGAGAAGCCCCTGGAGATGGACAGAAATCACACATCACACCACGTTTGTCTCAGGCAAGGAGGCTGGAGATCTAAGCCAGCTGCATTTCTCAGTATCTACGGCCTGTTCTGACATAACACGAAACATCGACTTTACAGAGCACCATTTGGAGGTTTAAAATGCAGCAATTAAGTGGCAAGCGGTTAGGCCACGTGGCAGACCAGCGGCGATACTCCTTGAATTTCTGTATTCCTTGCATCAGTTATGCTAGGGATATCCTTCACTTTAAATTGACGAACCCCAATTTAAAGTGGGCATGAGGTGGTGGCACGCAAACTGTGTTTCTAAAGGTTGTGGTTGTCGTTCTCGAATGATGATCGCGAGCCACACGGCACAGCAACAACTTGATATAGAAGCTGCAGCTCGTACAAAACTCTGCTGCGTCCCTCAGTTTTCGAACGTAATCCGTTCCAGAAGACCGTCCGAGTTCCGAGATGTTCGGAAACCGAAAACTCAATACGAAAGCCTCAATACGGAAAACTGCGTACAGTGGTATCTCAGGTTAAGTACTTAATTCGTTCCGGAGGTCCGTACTTAGCCTGAAACTGTTCTTAACCTGAAGCACCACTTTAGCTAATGGGGCCTCCCGCTGCCGCTGCGTGATTTCTGTTCTCATCCTGAAGCTAAGTTCTTAACCCGAGGTACTATTTCTGGGTTAGCGGAGTCTGTAACCTGAAGCATCTGTAACCTGAAACTGCGTATTGAAATGCATGGCATGTCCTACTTCTGAAAAGTGTTCAAAAACTGAAGCATTTACTTCCAGGTTTACGGCATTCAAAACCGAAACATTCGTCAACGGAGACGTTCGAAAACCGAGGTGCTGCTGTTCAAAATGTTCCATCAGCTGCCAAGGCCGCTGAACTACATTCAAGGTTTCCTCTTAAGCCTCTCCCCCCTAAACATATTAATTTTATTTCTGCAGCGTTAAATCCCTGTAGGTTCGTACGTTTCAATACTGTTTTATTGTCTGCATTGTGTTTTATAGATTCCTGTTTCTGAACGGCACTCAGGTACCGGGCAGAGACGTTTATGCGTTCTGAAAGGGAACACCGATTGCAACAGACCTTTCACAATGTCCAGGTCTTCCAGCGGAAATTTCCAGAGCAATTTGTACTTGCTGGCTGTGTCGATCACACTGGCTGCTGTGTAACTGCAAAGAAAAATCACGTAACACTAAGAACGGGAGCAGTACTGACTGCAACCACTAAGTGGCCTTGTTGGCCTATTTTAGAGGGAAACACCTTCCATTTGTATCTTAAATGTTCTGTCTTCCCTTGATCAAGATGCTAAGCTTGTGGGCAGGGCCTAGCCAATTTTCTAACATGTGCAAAATCTAGATTTCTGAGATGTCTCCAATATGAGGCACACTTGACTGCCACTTGTGCATTCTTGGCTACGTTCATAGCTGTCAACCGTCCCTTATTTGGCGGGAAACTCCCTTATCCCAGCGCCGTGTCCCGCTGCTGTCCCGGATTGATGATGTCCCTTAAATTTCCTGGGTTTCATGCTCGCTCGGCTCAGGAGGGAAGCAGCGGCTCGGGGTCCTCCGCCGTGAGAGAGAGCGCGCGCATGAGCTGCCGCGTCTCCGTCTCTCCCTTTTCCCCCTCAGGGGCGCGTTATGAGGAGATAGGCAACGGCGGGCGGGCAGGCAGCCCCTCTCTTGCGAGACTTCCGCTGCGCTGCCAGGGGAAGCCAGAGATGGCTGAGGAGGCGGCCTGAGGGAGGAGGAAGAGGAGGGGATGGGGAGGGACGCAGAAGGGTGCTAACTCGGTGCTACTCAGACTAATAAGAACCATTAATTTAGATATTCCCACCTTCCTACCCACAATTCCCGATATTTCTATACCAATCTGTTTCCAAAATTCATTAACTAACAGATAATCCCACCACATATGGCTGTACATTAAAAGGGGAATGTAAACTCTGCTAAGTAAAGGGACTTGATAACGCAAGTTAGGAAGGATATTAATAAACCATATATCCTCTCCTGTGTCCCTGAACATTACCACAGACGCCCATAACCCTTCACCAGCCTTCCTCCGCTCCTGCTTCTGCCTCTAATTCTGGCTGCCTCTCTGCCACAGAATCTCCCCGCTCACTAAGCCCTGTTCCCTCTCCATCTTCCAACGCTTCCTCTTCCTGGTCTTCTCCCTTTGAGCACTCATCATTGTCCCACCACCAATCCCCGGGCTCTGAGCCTTCTTCCCTTGGGGGTTCCCCAGCTGGTTCCGCCCCCCCCAGTCCATCGCAGACATGGCCCTCGAGCCGTCAATCACACGGCAACTTCTGGTGGGCTTTGGGGGTCGGTCACTTACAGGCTCATGGAGCTTCGCCGCAACGACCCGGACTTGCGTTTCAGGGTGGTGCAGACGAGCAGGTCCGTGAAGAGGAAAAGTGAGCGGTCCTTCTTCCCGCCCACAGCCTTCTGCAACGAGACATAGGAGAGGTCTGATACTACCATAAGGTCTAATGACAGGTGGGTGAATCAGCGACAGGGGGAAGTTCAATCTACATGGTGCCTAGAGAATAACTTCGAACCACCAACCTTCTGATCGGCAAGCCCAAGAGGCTCAGTGGTTTAGACCACAGCGCCACCCACGTCCCTAAATTTCATTGTAAACCGCTTTGAGGAGGTTTTTTTTCTTTCTTTAGCAATCAAGCGGCATGTAAACTTTATGAAAATGAAACAAAAAACAGGGTACCGCCTCTCCTTCCCTTATGCTCCCATGTTACTTTCTCCCTTGGCAAAGCCACCATTTTACTTGCGTTGCAGGAAAAGGTGCTCTTTGGGAATATTCTGTATCTAAGCGCTTTGCTTTGCTCCTGGATATTCTATGGGATCACGGTAATCGTCTGTAATGGTTCTAGGGGTTGCTCGTGCGTAAGCCTGTGCCAACACCTGGCTGGGTTGCCTGAGTGAAGCTTTCCTGTCCGGACAGCCACTCACCCGTGGCTGTCTCAATCGCTGGCAGAATCCGTCAGTGGGCGTTTCTTAAACTTCTTCCAGCAAAGAAGCTCTTTGACGCCCAGTCTCCTCCTACTCTCCCTGCGCGGAAGCCTTCTGCGCAAGGAGGGCGTAGGCAGCGGAGGACCCTTCCTCCCCCCGCTGGTCCCCGGCAAGGAGTCATGTGACCCCCTCTCAGATTCCCCCATCTGCCCCCCTTCTCCACTGGAGCTAAGCTGATTCCCTTCCCCAGAAGATGGGCTGCCTCTCCCAATCCCGGGACGCTCTCTGGGATACCTCTGGAGCCCTCTCTCTCCCACCGGCACTGATGGCAGTTCCCTGACATCGTCGTTTGTGGGAAGGGGGTGATTGGTTCTGTTTTGCTTTTGCTCTTGTTTTTATTGTGTATTTCGTGCTTACATCTTGCATTTTTACGCTGCAAACCGCCCTGAGATCATTGGCGGAAAAGCAGTATGCTGCTATTATTACACAGGGAAACAAAATTTTTGTTGCATTGACACCTGCAGTTGTTCTAACCTAATTTTGACGTGCTGATTTCATATCTGAAGTTGGTTTTGTTCTGTAAGCTCTAGGTTTTTTTGCAATTCATGTTTTTCACTTTTCACCATAATCTTTGTTTTTCACAATGCAAGAATTCAATATTTTATGAAACACATAGCCACTGTAGTACAATATGAGTATAAATGTAAGTGACTTATGTAGCATTGAACATGACACGCATAGCATTGAAAATGACATGTATATCTATTTACAGTTGGAGGTATGGAAAAAAATGTATTCCCTTGGGATACACAGTATACTGGGGAACAATCTCCCCCCCCTTTTCTGTTGCATGAGATTTTTCAACTGTTCTTGTATGTTCTTTAAACGCTGATTTCAAATCTGAAATCAATTTTCGTGTACGTGCTATAGTTATCTTTCAATTTCCGACTTTTGCCGATATGTCATATTTACACTGGGGATAAGTGGACACTGACACGTTGATCTACCCTAACCCCATGGTAATTACTGTTTTGCAAACTTATTTTTTCTTTATTTTTATAGTTTTTTAACCTAAATACAGTGGTACCTCGCAAGACGAATGCCTCACAAGACAAAAAACCCGCAAGACGAAAGGGTTTTTTGTTTTTTGAGCTGCTTCGCAAGACGATTTTCCCTATGGGCTTGCTTCGCAAGACGGAAACGTCTTGCAAGTTTGTTTCCTTTTTCTTAACACCGTTAATACAGTTGCGACTTGACTTTGAGGAGCAACTCATAGCACGCGGTGTGGTAACCTTTTTTGAGGTTTTTGAAGACTTTGGTGATTTTTGAAGCTTTTCCGAAACTTTCCCGACACCGTGCTTCGCAAGACGAAAAAAATTGCAAGACGACAAAACTTGCGGAACGAATTAATTTCGTCTTGCGAGGCACCACTGTATTTGTATTTTTCAGATCGGACCATGGCTTCTTCAAGTAGACAAAAATGTCATGCAACAGAAAATGAAAAAAAAATTGTTTGCCCGTGTTGTTGTTATTAGCAGCTCAGCGCGGAGAGAAGTGGCAGCAAAACAATGGCCCCTGGCAACTCTTACCAGGAAAGCAGCTATGTGGTGAGGGGGGCAAGGCAGATAAGACATGCCTCCCCTTCTGCCCCGAATTAACTGTCACCCCCAAACCCAGTGGGGAGACCCCAACACGGCCTCCTTGCACAATATTTAATTTGATTCCCGGCCATCAGAGAGGCAGTGGTGGTTCGTTACTCGGTTGCATAATAAACCTAACCCCAACCACCGCAGGGAACAGAGAAATAAAACTACGCGCACTTTTAATTCCACCAGAAATCTACGTGGGCCTCGCTAAGGTATCGTGCACTAAAACACAGCAGCTCTCCCCATCGTTTTTGATTTAATTCACCCCTCATTAATAGAGATTTTACTATCCTCTCCCCGAACTGCAGCTTCACGAAATAAAAAGGCAGTTTGGGCTGGCTTGCCGAGGGAACGCAATCCTTCCTTTTTGCATTTTTTTGATTGGATGCGTTCTGTATGCCGCCTTCGCTCTGCAGATAATGGCTGAATAACCCCCTCAAATCTTAAAAAGCAGAGACATCACCTTGCCAACAAAGGTCCGTATAGTTAAAGCTCTGGTTTTCCCAGTAGTGATGTATGGAAGTGAGAGCTGGACCGTAAAGAAGGCTGATCGGCGAAGAATTGGTGCTTTTGAATTCTGGTGCTGGAGGAGACTCTTGAGAGTCCCATGGACTGCAAGAAGATCAAACCTCTCCATTCTGAAGGAAATCAGCCCTGAGTGCTCACTGGAAGGACAGATCCTGAAGCTGAGGCTCCAATACTTTGGCCACCTCATGAGAAGAGAAGACTCCCTGGAGAAGACCCTGATGTTGGGAAAGATGGAGGGCAGAAGGAGAAGGGGACGACAGAGGACGAGATGGTTGGACAGTGTTCTCTAAGCGACCAACATGAGTTTGACCGAACTGCGGGAGGCAGTGGAAGACAGGAGTGCCTGGCGTGCTCTGGTCCAGGGGGTCACAAAGAGTCGGACACGACTAAACGACTAAACAACAACAGCAACAACAACCCCCTCAAATTTAGTTATACAGTGACAGGAGGCAGGGTGAGTCGCGAGGCTGGGGCGGCGGCAGACACGACTGGCTCTTCGCGGCCACGCTGCCATCCAACAGGATCTGCAAGGCCTTTTGTGCAGAAGGGGGCCTGTTTATTTGGATTCCCAGCTCCCGGGGTTGACATGGCAACGCAGGGTGCCACACACTCGGCTGGGGGAATTTTGATTGTTATCTCCCCCTCACAGCACCGGGAGCCGGGGGAAATGTTCTGCGGTGTGGCGGGGGGGAAAGAAAGGAGGGAGGTTGCTTCTGTCTAAAAAGCAAACCCCAAAAGTCTTGGGGAGTCCCAAGGCAGCTGAAATATAGGTGCTGCGTTTACAGCCTAAATTCTGCAAAAGCACAAGGGTGGGGGGGAGCTGGAGACTGAGATATGAGATAACGAATTCGGTTTCCCGAGAACCTCTGTTTTTATATTTAGATATAGGGACACGGGTGGCGCTGTGGTCTAAACCACAGAGCCTCTTGGGCAGGGGTCTGCAACCCGCGGCTCCGGAGCCGCATGTGGCTCTTTTACACCTTTGCCACGGCTCCGGGGCGGATACTAGCGAGGGGAGGAGGCGCATTGTGCGCCCCGGCACTCCCCACTGTGGCGGGCGCTGTACTTGCTGTGACGTCGCATGGGGGCGGTGCGTGCATTAGTCACGCACTGTCCCGACGTCACCTTCCCACCCGCTGTCAGATCGCGGCTCCGGAGATATATTTGTTTTAGATGTCGCAATGGTTTTGCGGCTCCCAGGTTTTTTTCCCCTTCGGAAACGGGTCCAAGTGGCTCTTTTTGTCTTAAAGGTTGCAGACCCCTACTCTTGGGCTTGCCAATCAGAAGGTCAGTGGTTCAAATCCCCGCGACGGGATGAGCTCCCGTTGCTCGGTCCCTGCTCCTGCCAACCTAGCAGTTCAAAAGCACACCAGTGCAAGTAGATAAATAGGTACTGACTTCCGGTGGAGCGCGTCCTCGCAGCGAGAAGGGATTTGGTAGAGAGCGCAAATCCCGTCCTACTACCCCAAACTTTTTTCTCATTGGTCCACAACCTCAATTTGGTGGACGTATGGAGATTTAAATATCCTCTAGAAAAACAGTACACCTTCCATTCGGAACCAAATGACTCATTTTCGAGATTAGATCAGATATGGACATCGGCAGAACTAGTACCAAGAGCTACTAGGGTTGAGATTCTCCCTAAAACGATCTCGGACCATAACGCAGTAAAATTGGAATTGAAAGGGTTGGAGGAAAGACCATATAGATGGAAAATGAAAGACTACCTGCTTGATGACTCAGAGGTCATAGAGAAAGCACAGGGAAAGTTAAAAGAATATTTTGAGGACAATTTAGGCAAAGGCACTAAGCCGAAGGTGGTGTGGGATGCAGGCAAGGCGGTGATGAGGGGATTTTTCATCCAACAGAGTGCAATCAAGAATAAAAAAAGAGAAAAAGGGAAAAAAGAAATTTTACAGCAAATAATGGATAACGAACAAAAATTAGTAGAAAACCCGAAAAACAAGAGGATAAAAGAAAATATTAAGATCCTACAGTCGCAACTGGCAATGCTGATAAATAGAGAAATAGAATGGAAGGTCAAAAAATTAAGACAAAAAAGTTTCGAACACGCCAATAAATCAGGAAAGTTACTTGCCTGGCAACTAAAAAAAAGGAAGGAACAGAATACAATAAACAAGATTGAGGTGGAGGGAGAAGTGAAAAGCAACCCGAAAGAAATAAGAAAGGCCTTTCTGGACTTTTACAGAGGACTCTACAAAAATAGCGAAAAGAATAATCTGAGGAAAATAGAAAAATATCTAAAAGGGAAGAGCATTCAAAAGATTCCGGTACTGGAGAAAGAAAAACTGAGTGCCCTAATAGAGACAGACGAAATTAAAGAAACAATAAAGGATTTAAAAAAAGGGAAAGCGCCAGGCCCAGACGGGTTTACCGGTAGCTACTACAAAGAAATGGAGCCAATTTTGTTGACTCCAATGCAAGAAGTAATGAATAATATTCTTAAAGAAAGAGAACTACCAGAGACATGGAAGGAGGCGCTAATTACTTTAATACCTAAACATGACTCAGATCTACAACAGATTAAAAACTACAGACCGATCTCCCTATTAAATATAGATTATAAGATCTTTGCGGGAATCCTAGCAAGGAGACTGAAAAACATACTGATAAAAAACATACATAAAGACCAAGCTGGCTTTCTGCCGGGAAGGCACATGAAGGATAACATAAGAAATGTGGTAAACATTATAGAATACTTATCGGACAGGTGTGATAAACAAGGCTTGCTATTGTTTGTGGATGCAGAGAAAGCATTCGACAATTTAATTTGGGATTTCCTGCTGAAACAACTGGAATATATGGAGGTTGGTACTGAGTTCTATAATGGGGTAAAGGCAATCTACACGGAACAGAAAGCCAAACTGATAATAAACAGTGTGGAGACCTCAGAAATAAGAATAGCAAAAGGAACAAGGCAAGGATGCCCTCTGTCCCCACTGTTATTTATTATGGTGTTAGAAGTTCTATTAAACTCAATAAGAGGAAATAGAGGGATAAGAGGGATAACAGTTGGGCAGAATGAATACAAAACAAAGGCGTTTGCGGATGACCTGGTCATAACAATGGAGGACCCAATAAATTCAACAAAAGAGGTACTTGAAGAATTTGATCAGTTTGGAAAAGTAGCCGGCTTTAAATTAAATAAAAAGAAAACAAAAATCATTGTAAAGAATATGGAGACAGATAAAATCGAAGAACTACAAAAAACAACGGAGATAGAGGTGGCCAGAAAAGTTAAGTATTTAGGAATATGGGTAACACCAAAAAACATAGATCTCTTTAAAAACAATTACGAGACAGTATGGAAAGGAGTTAAGAAAGATATTGAATCGTGGGGTAGGCTGAAATTGTCATTCTGGGGCAGAATAGCCATAATCAAGATGAGTGTACTCCCAAAAATGTTGTTTCTCTTCCAGAACATTCCTGTAATTAGGGGCATAAAGATATTCAAGGAATGGCAGAAAGTGATCTCGAAATTCGTCTGGCAGGGCAAGAAGCCAAGGATTCAATTTAAACTATTGACAGATGCGAAGGAAAGGGGGGGCTTCGCCCTACCTGATCTGAAATTATACTATGAGGCATCTTGCCTATGCTGGGTTAAAACTTGGATAAAACTGGAAGATAAGGAGGTGTTGGATTTAGAGGGATTCAATCTCAGATTTGGGTGGCACGCCTATTTATGGCATGGGAAGAGGAAAGTACATAGGGGTTTCGAAAATCATATTTTTAGAGGTTCACTGATTGAGGTGTGGGAGAGGAATAGAGATGTGTTAGAACCTAAAACACCCCATTGGCTATCGCCGCTAGAAGTGATGAGTGTTAGAAAGATAAACATGGGAGATAACTGGCCTACATACGAGCAACTGTTGATGAAGGAAGAAGGGAAGTGGAAATTAAAGCCGTACGATCAGATCAAGGAGAAAGTACACGACTGGTTGCACTACTTTCAGTTAAATGGAATGTTTAGGAAAGATATTATAGATAAAGGATATGTCGATAAAGACTCTAGATTCCAGACTGAAATATTGAATAACAACCACAGAACTCTGTCTAAAATGTATAACCAGCTACTAGGCTGGAATTTAATAGATGAAGAAGTAAAGTCGGTAGCGATTCACTGGGCGAGAGACATCGGCCATAACATATATGCCGAAGAGTGGGAGAAGCTATGGAAAATACACCTTAAGTTTACAGCCTGTGTGACACTAAAAGAGAACTTAATGAAAATGTTTTACCGTTGGTATTTAACCCCTGTAAAATTAGCCAAAATGTATGGGACCTGTAACAAATGTTGGAAGTGTAGAGAAAGGGAGGGGTCCTTCTTCCACATGTGGTGGGAGTGTCAAAAAGTCAAAGAGTTTTGGGAAGGGGTGTATAACGAATTGGAAAAAAAAAAAGATATACTTTTGTTAAAAAACCTGAGGCGTTCCTGTTGGGATTGGTAGGGAGGGAGATAAGAAAGAAAGATCACAGGTTCTTTCAGTATGCAACATCGGCTGCAAGAATCTTAATAGCTCAAAATTGGAAATCTGAGAACTTGCCGACAATCGAAGAATGGAGAGCAAAACTGTTAGATTACGCGGAGATGGATAAGATGACAGGGAAAATTAGATATTCCAAAGATCAGAGGTTTATTGAGGAGTGGGAAAATTTTACGAACTATCTGGAAAACTTGAGTGAAGGACAGATAACACTAGTGGGTTTTAAAGGAGCTCTGTAAAAAGAAAAAAGGGTACTGTCAGAGAGAAAGAGAAGAATTAGGATGGTTAATGACAATACAAACTAAGAAATGCGAATTCTTATAAGGATACTACGGATGATTTGTGGAAAGGTTGAAGGAAGTCGTACTAAATAATCTGTGAATTTGAGAATGTAACTTTTATGTTTTATATCTTTTTAATATGCAAATCAATAAAAATTACTTAAAAAAAAAAGTAGATAAATAGGTACAGTTCCGGCGGGAAGGTAAACGGTGCTTCCGTGCGCTGCTCTGGTTCGCCAGAAGTGGCTTAGTCATGCTGGCCACATGACCCGGAAGCTGTCTGTGGACAAAGGCCTATAGAGCAAGATGAGTGTGCAACCCCAGAGTTGTTCGCAACTGGTCAGGGGTACCTTTACCTTTTTATATTTAGATATATCTTATTAAATTTCCAGAGATTTCTCATAAGCCTTCCAATACGTAAAAGATTTTTCTTCTGTCTCGTCGACTTCCCACCCCATTTTCCATTTTCTTTTATTCCTCCCCCTTGCTGCCCCCTATCTTCCCTCTATTATATCATAACATTAATACAACAACCTCTAATTCCTTCTGCTGCTCCTAGTTCAAATCCTGCTCACGAATTCATCCTACCCTAGTAATTCTTTAAATAGTTAAAAAAAGGGGCTTCCATTCTTCCATAAAGCAATCATCATTAAGTTCTCTTATTTTAAGTGATTCAACTGTTTCAGCATTTTTGTGCATAACAGATCCTCGCTGCTGTAGTTACATACATAAATAACTTAACCATCTTTTTGGAACTTCTGTACCTATAATCTCTAGAAGAAAAGTTTCCGTTTTTCTTTTTTCCTTTTTTTAAAAGTATAATCACTTTAAACATCTTTTTTTATCTCATCATATATCATTTCCCCAAATTCCCTCGTTTTCTTGCAAGTCCACCACATATGAAAGAACCATCTATCAGGGGTGTCCAAACTTTTTTCAAAGAGGGCCAGATTTGATGAAGTGAACATGTGTGAGGGCCGGCCAAAGTTGTTTACACTTCCAGCAGTCATTGCGTAGACCCTCCAAAATAAAACGAAGAAAAATATGCAACATTCATTTAAAAAGCTGACTACGACTTGCAAAATAAGACAGATTACGGAGGGTTCTCTTACCACTTCCACTAGCATCTCCTGGCGCAAGAATCTCCTCAGCGGGGCCTGAAGCTGGGGAGACACAAGGAATCAGAGCGATTTAGGGATGTCGCCAAACGCCCAAGGGGATCTTAGCACTGACTTCTCAATCGTGACAGTGTGGAGAAGCAAAATACCGTATTTTTCGGTCTATAGGACGCACTCTTTCCCCTCCAAAAATGAAGGGGAAATGTGTGTGCGTCCTATGGGGCGAATGCAGGCTTTCGCTGAAGCCTGGAGAGCGAGAGGCATCGGTGCGCACCGACCCCTCTCGCTCTCCAGGCTTCAGGAAGCTATCCGCAAGCCTTGCGCGCCCGGCGGGAAGTCCAGAACTCTGTTCTGAAGGAACAGAGAATATGTACATTTCCAGATTCATTTACACCAGGGATAGATAAGCCAGAAGCAGCTGAATTTCATACAGTCCTCAGGGTCCCGTCCCTGTGACCAGGTGGGTGGGAAAAGGGCTTTGGTTCCAATATGTAATTTCTGCTCCTTTTTAAAGGGAAATTCCCTTATTCCGAACAGGATTCCTCGCAAGACACGGGAAAAGTTGACAGCTATGGATCCGTGCGAGATCACAGTACCCAAAAGACGCACATTTTTCAGGGACACGCTTGTATGCGTGTTTGGGTGTGCCGCACAATATTGCAGCCCCCCCCCCCATTTTTGGGTAGGGAAAACGCTTTTTCAAAGCAATATCTCGGCACGAAATCGTGCAAGATCACGGCACCCAAAACTGCCTCCCTGTTCTCTCGGGAGTGTCCCCTTTTCCCCAGGACATTTGCGGGGGGCGCAATTAGGATAGGTAAAGAGTGTTGGGAAAGCCTTGATTACAAACTTTGACGAGAAAAAAGGTGAAATCTGAGTGGAGTTACTAAGAATTAAACACACAGACCTCTGTTTGATTTTGTGCAATAAGACTGGCCCGCTACTGGAACCCGACCCATGACGTCTGGGTGATGTGGTCCTCAGCAGAGAAGCCCCCCTGCCCTATGTGTACATAGACGTATCCCTACCCTCTACTCCCCCCCTCCCCAAAGCAGCACACATTCAAGAAAGCATCTTGGCAAATCTTACGTCCTCCATTCCTTCTATATGCGACTCAATCTCTTGCACTATCCTGGCGTTCCGTTCCACCTCTTCGGCGCTCCTCATCCCTTTGTTGATCCTCTCAGCCACCTGTTTGATGCTCCTCTGAGCTTCCATCAGGAACGGGTGGTCGGGGTGGGCTTCGGGCGTGTGCTTGAGAAGGTCCTGGTGGGAGAAAGCGCAGCGGGAATTATAGAATAATAATTTATTATTTATACCCCGCCCATCTGGCTGGGTTTCCCCAGCCACTCTGGGCGGCTTCCAACAAAACACCAAAATACAATGACCTATTAAACGTTAAAAGCTTCCCTAAACAGGGCTGCCTTCAGATGTCTTCTAAAAGTCTGGTAGTTATTTTTCTCTGGTGGGAGTACATTCACAGGGCGGGCGCCACTACTGAGAAGGCCCTCTGCCTAGTTCCCTGTAACTTGGCTTCTCGCAGTGAGGGAACCGCCAGAAGGCCCTCGGCGCTGGACCTCAGTGTCCGGGCAGAACGATGGAGGTGGAGACACTCCTTCAGGTCTGCTGGGCCTTTGAGGCCGTTTAGGGCTTTAAAGGTCAGCACCAACACTTTGAATTGTGCTTGGAAACGTACTGGGAGCCAGTGTAGGTCTTTAGAGCAGGAAATGGAGATATATATATATTGCAGAACCTGCCTGGGCCAAAATGTCAAATTTGCTCCACATTATCTCATTAGTTTCCGATTCCTTCCCTCCCCCAAGTCCTTACGACTTCCATAGATGCAAATGTCTGGGTCATTTAAGACTACAGTGGTACCTTGGTTCTCAAACGCCTTGGTACTCAAACAAATTGGAATCCAAACACTGCAAACCCAGAAGTGAGTGTTCCGGATTCCGAACCTTTTTCGGAAGCCAAACGTGCTCCGTTTTGAGTGCCACACTTCCGATTTGAGTGTTACACTGAGGTCGGTCTCTTTTTGCTATTTATTTTGCATTTTTGTTTTTGCAGCTCTTTTTGTTTTGTATTTGTGACTGTGTGGAACCCAGTTCAGCTACTGATTAGTTGATTGTGTGACTGCAGTACACTATTGCTTTCATTTTATGGATCAATGGTCTCATTAGATAGTAAAATTCATGTTAAATTGCTGTTTTAGGGTTTGTTTTTAAAAGTCTGGAACGGATTGATCCATTTTGCATTACTTTCTATGGGAAAGTGTGCTTTGGTTTTGGAACGCTTCGGTTTTGGAACAGACTTTCAGAACGGATTAAGTTTGAGAACCAAGGTACCACTGTATATAAAACCTTTAACCATGGAATTCCCATGGATAATATTTTTATATATATATATAAAACTTTATTATTTGCAGTGGAAATCTTTGAATGAGTCTCTTTGGAGCTGTGCTGTTACTTTGTACTTTTGTCCTTCTCATCTGGAGGGGACGGACATGTTTTGTTTTATATCTCTGACTTCTTCATTGTTAGGTTTGCACTTTCCTCCTGGTAATAAATCGAAATAGGTCCTAATGAACTCATCAGCGTTTTGCCGCCAATTTCTTCAAACTTACTCACATTTTTCTATGCAGTTTAGCCTCACACATGTTTTTGCTGATTTTCCCAAATGTAATGAATTTCGGCAGGCTGGTTTCATGGATATACATGCATTTACAAGCTCATCTGAACCTGGACTAAACGCCTTTAGGCACATGCTTTTTGGCTAGAGAACCGCATTGCAGAATTCGAAGGAGCGCAACTTGCGAAAGGATCCCGGGTTTTGATTAGCCCATCGGAGCTGGAAAGTGTGACGCAGGTAGATCTGCAAATGCATGTTGTTGTTTAATCACTTAGTCATGTCCGACTCTTCGTGACCCCCTGGACCAGAGAACACCAGGCACTCCTGTCTTCCACTGCCTCTCGCAGCTTTGTCAAACTCATGCTGGTAGCTTCGAGAACACTGTCCAATCATCTCGTCCTCTGTCGTCCCCTTCTCCTTGTGCCCTCCATCTTTCCCAGCATCAGTGTCTTCTCCAGGGAGTCTTCTCTTCTCATGAGGTGGCCAAAGTACTGGAGTCTCAGCTTCAGGATCTGTCCTTCCAGTGAGCACTCAGGGCTGATTTCCTTCAGGATGGATCGGTTTGATCTTCTTGCAGTCCATGGGACTCTCAAGAGTCTCCTCCAGCACCATGATTCAAAAGCATCCATTCTTCGGCGATCAGCCTTCTTTATGGTCCAGCTCTCACTTCCATACATCACTACCGGGAAAACTATGGCTTTAACTATACAGACCTTTGTTAGCAAGGTGATGTCTCTGCTTTTTAAGATGCTGTCTAGGTTTGTCATTGTCTCCCAAGAAGCAGGCGTCTTTTAATTTCGTGACTGCTGTCACCATCTGCAGTGATCATGGAGCCCAAGGAAGTATATTGAATCCCAAATCCGTTCCTCTGTTCCTTAGGCGTATTCTCCATCACCAAGCCATGCTTGAGGTCTTTGGCATTTCTGTGGGCGCATCCATCTCTCTCTGAAGCCTTAGCTGAATCATAGAGTTGGAAGAGACCACAAGGGCCATCGAGTCCAACCCCCTGCCAAGCAGGAAACACCATCAGAGCACTCCTGACCTATGGTTGTCAAGCCTCTGCTTAAAGACCTCCAAAGAAGGAGACTCCACCACACTCCTTGGCAGCTGCTTTCCTTTCACCCGATTCCTAAAAACCCATGCGCCGTTCCTGGAGAGCAACGGTGCCGGCAGGAAGGGAATGGCATCCGAGCTGCTCCTTGGAAGCAAAGAACGAAGGCAAGGCCGGGAAAAGACGCTGCCTGCCTTTATCCTCTTGGGCCATCCATCACGGGAAGAGTAAATAAAACTGGATGGTTAATAGTCTGTAGGTAAGTGCAGAGCAGTGGAGCTCAAGAGTAATTGGTGGTTTTTCAGTGCCAACAGGGTAGATGGGGATATCAATCAGGGAGGACCGAAGGCCCACCGGACAGAACCTGGGCAGGCAGAATGTTTTTTGTGATGTTGGCAACACGGCCCGACAGGCAGACTTCTCGGGGCACCTTCCTCTCTCGCCCTGACCTCGCCACTGTCATCCACGCGACCATCACCTCCAGACTGGATTATTGTAACTCGCTCTTCGTGGGGCTGCCCTTGAGACTGACCCAGAAACTCCAGCGGGTGTAGAATGCTCCAGCGAGATTCCTTACGGGGTCCTCGCTGCGAGATCACATTCACCCAGTGCTATACCAACTGCACTGGCTCCCGGTGGGGTACAGGATCAGGTTCAAGGTGCTGGTTTTAACATTTAAAGCCCTATATGGCCTAGGACCCTCGTACCTACGGGACCGCCCCTCCTGATATGTCCCACGGAGGAACTTACGGTCTTCAAACAAAAACATTTTGGAGGTCAACTAGACCCAGGGCTTCAACTAGAGCCAGGGCTGTTTTGGCCGTGGCCCCGATCTGGTGGAACGCTCTGTCACAAGAGACCAGGGCCCGGCGGGACTTGACATCTTTCCACAGGGCCTGCAAGACAGAGCTGTTCCACCAGGCCTTTGGCCAGGGCACAGCCTGACCCCCTCCTTTGGCAATCTTCACAGAACTCTAGCCCAATGGTTGCCATTAATCTGACTGGAATTAATTTTATAATGAAATGATTTTAGAATGTTTTATCATTTTACTGTTGTTAGCCGCTCTGAGCCCGGCTTCGGCTGGGGAGGGCGGGATATAAATAAAATTTATTATTATTATTCCAAGCGTGCCCCAGCCTCTCCAGATACAGCCTCCCTTCGCTGGCATATTAGGAAGTCCCCTGACGTATGGTTCATGAGAACCTGCCAAAAAGATTTCTGCCTTCCATCAGTTCTCTCTCTGATACAGCCTGACTATACGCCGATCCGTCTCTTGCTAAACAAACATTCCCGGCCGGAAATGTGATTCATCCCATCCTCCTTCCCAACTGAACGCCGCCCCCCCCCCCCGGGAACGCAGTTTCCTAGAAACCTGCCTGGGGAATTTGTCTCTCTCGCTTTTTCAAATGCCAGGAATTCCACGGGTTCTGACATTTGCTGGCAGTTTGTAAAATCGGAGGAGGCTCGGAGGGAAATGTCAGGACGTCGTGACATTCGATGGCAAGTCACGGGTGGGAAACCTGCGGTCCATCTAGTCTGACCCAACGCAAGACAGGAAGCCTTTCCCCAACGTGGGATTCGAACCCGCAGCCCTGAGATTCGAGAGTCTCGTGCTCTACCGACGGAGCTATCCCAGCCTTAATATGGATCATAACAACAAACAAAAACAATAGCCCACCCACAGTTTGAAAGGCGATAGACTGCTTACCCAAACCCTACAATCCTAGAATTGTAGTGCTGGAAGGGACTCCCAAAGTCATCTAGTCCAGCCCCCTGCAAGTTGTTCCTGATGTTGGAATCTCCTTTCTTGTAGCTGGAAGCCGTGGGTTCGAGTCCTACCTTCCAGAGCAGGAGAAAACAAGCACGCTCCCTCTTCCATGCGACAGCTCTTGAGATAGTTGACGGTGGCTAACCTATATCCTCTCATTCTCCTCTTCTCCAGGCTAAACATCCTCAGCTCCTTCAACCGTTCCTCATCAGGCTTGGTTTCCAGACCCTTGGTCATCTTGATCGCCCTCCTCTGCACACCTTCCAACTTCTCAATACCTTTCGGTCCAGTATACCTGAAAGAGCGTCTCCATCCCCATCGTTCTGCCCAGACACTGAGGTCCAGCGCCAAGGGCTTTCTGGCAGTTCCCTTTCTGCGAGAAGCCAAGTTACCAGGGCCTTCTCGGTAGTGGCACCCGCCCTGTGGAACGCCCTCCCACCAGATGTCAAAGAGAAAAACAACTCCCAGACTTTTAGAAGACATCTGAAGGCAGCCCTCTTTAGGGAAGCTTTTAATGTCTAATACGTTATTGTATTTTAGTGTTCTGTTGGAAGCCGCCCAGAGTGGCTGGGGAAACCCAGCCAGAAGGGCAGGGTATTATTAATAATAATAATAATAATAATAATAATAATAATAATAATAATAGTAAAGGTAAAGGTACCCCTGCCCGTACGGGCCAGTCTTGACAGACTCTAGGGTTGTGCGCCCATCTCACTCAAGAGGCCGGGGGCCAGCGCTGTCCGGAGACACTTCCGGGTCACGTGGCCAGTGTGACATCGCTGCTCTGGCGAGCCAGAGCCGCACACGGAAACGCC